CTTCTGAAGCCATTGGTCTGGGTCTGGTCTGGGCCTGGGGGACTTAAAAAGCTCCCCAGGTGATTCAAAAGTGCAAGAAAGGCTGAGACCCACTGCTCTATATTTCTCCAACCCTTTAACATCAGAGCACTTTATCTCACTGCATAGAAATGGAACGTTTATGTCTGTGCCACTAACGGCACTGTGGGCTTCCTGACACAGAAGTTTCACAGAGACCTTGGAGGCTTTTTCTACATTAGGAGTTCCTGGACCTTACTTAAAAACTAAATCTGATCCATGGGCAGGTTCCTGGATACTGTCTGTCTCTTGAATAATTCTAATTCGCAGTGAAATTTGAGGATTCTCTCCTAGGTAAGAATTGGGTCTTTTTATTTGCAGTCACCAGAATCCATCATAGCTAAACTATGATAAATATTTGTGTAATGAATGATCTCTATTCATGTGACTCTGGGAATTGGATGGATGTATTCAATATTTAAGCTTCCTGCAGCCGCACTCACAAAAGCTGCTTTCTGCAACGGAATGCAAATACAGGTCAGTTTTTCAAATGTGATTTTTAATCCACCAGTGCCCCCTACTGATCTTAAAGCTGAACAGCTAAACCAAACCGATTACAGTCAGTTAATTGTATATGCATGTAACTAGTCACACGGCGTACTTTGCTCACTCACACCTATACTAACAACTCCTTTGACTTCTGGTCCTACTTGACCCAAGGTTATAACTCCCAGAGCCACATCAACTCTCCCATTTGCTCTGTCCCCACTCCCAAGCTGCAATCATGCAGATGGGTATAGTTCTGCCATAGCAGCAGCCTCAGCAATGCCTTCTCTAAACCTCACACCTAATTTTTTTGCTCCGTGGCCAGTGCCTCTTCCAAATCCCATAACACACATAAAATCACTCACCTTGAAAACATAAGAAAGCATTTGTGTACTAATTTGTCTCAGTTCTTGCTATTCAAAGTATGATGAGGGACTAGCAGCATCTATATCATACAAGAGCTTGTTAGAATCTGCATTTTAACAAGAGGGTTGTGCACATCAAAGTTTGGGAAGCCATAGTTCTCAACTACTAGACCTAATACCACTATTGTATGACAAATATTTTTGCAAACCCAGAGAATTTCAAAAAGAAAAGAGATAGTGCCCCACCCAACCCCCACCGGTGGCCCAGCGGTTGAGCCCTAGGCTGCGAGGCTGCCCACAGCCTCTGCAGCGCCAATTTGATCCCTGGCCGCCGGCAAGGGTCCCACATGGCGCACAGACCCCTCCTGCCGACCGCTGCTCCCCTCAGCAGTGTATTTCTTCGTCACTCTGCCTGTTCTGTTCCCTGCTCTGGATCTGGTGAATTCTCTCACCCTCCCGCACTTCTGACTGTACCCAGTGCTTGTAAAAATAAATAAATAAATCTTTAAAAAAAAAAAAAGAGATAGTATAAGGATTTGACAGTAACATAAATGAGCACAAAAAAGGATTTATAATAAGAATTGTATTTCCATAAATAAATGTTAGACACAACTAAATTAAATATGTGAAGAACCTAAGTTTACAAAATGTAAAGTGGGTGGTACCATCCAGTTGAGAGCCACTGGCCTAATATCACCCACCCTTCTTTTCGTTCCATCTCACAGGAGGGGATGTCTCCTTTTAAAGTTGAGGGAGTCTCTCTAAAAGCACCTGCCCTACATTCCTTTCAAGGCCATAAACAACTTGAAATCTTATCTGTTGTAACAACCACAAAACTATGCTAGAATTTTGACCTAAATTCTCCCTCCAGTTATAATATTCTCTCTCTCTGTCCCTTGACAATCAAATTTATCAACCACTATGCATTCATTTACTCATCTCTCAGTCACCTCCACACATTAATTAAGTTTTTACTTCCATCAGTAAACCTATACATATAAAGAACACAAAAGTTTTCCAAATTGCCCAAGTCCATAAACACTTCTCCAAACTCATCTAACTCATCTTTCTGCAACGGACACTGTTGGTTGCTGTCTCCCTCCCCCCACTGTGTTCATGAACTCATTTCTCTCCTATGTGACTAAGGTAACGTGGCCTCACCCAAGCTGATCTTGTCTAGTCTAAGCCTATCAGAGCACGGCACTCCCCTGGCAATCCGGCACTCCCCTGGCAATCCGTACCAGGTCAGAGGTAGATACCTGACATCTGTTGGTCCATCTGGACTGAAGGAAGAATGCCATCCAAGCGTGGGAGTTTTGTCCTCATTCCCTTGCTTTAGTGAATGAGAAAGCATGTGTTACTGGTAGTTATCTTGCGACTAGACAGGGAATGAACCAGTCTTTTAATGGAAAGCCAAGAAAAGAGACCAAGCCCTTGATGACATCATTGGTCCACCAAAGTTTACTCTGCCTCTGGATTTTTGTGAGATAATTTTCATTACTATTTAAGCAATCGGGTTTCCCAGTTGAAAGCAAGATAATATAGCCGTCCTCCTTGAAACTTTCCTCCCTTGATTTGACTGCACTCTTTTGTGCTCCTAATTCTACTTATCAAAAGTTGTTTCTTTTGCCTCTGGCCTCTTCTCTTCCTCTGCTTACTCCTAATATTTTGGTGTTCTCTGAGGCTTCTTGTGATCTTTTCTATGCAAACTACATGTTTGAATAACTGCAGTTCACTGTTATCTTTCCCTTGACCCAGCAGAACTGAGCTCCTGGCACTTCCCCCAATGGAGTACTGTCTCTGATGTTCCCCAGCTCATCCACTGAAGAGTTATGACTTGTCTTTCAAACTAAATTTAAAGGTCTCCTCTGCCATGGACATCTTTGGCAGACTGGTGAGCCCTAATGATCCCTTCTCAAAATAAGGCTTCTAAATGCACAAAATACAAATTAGGTTGCCAGAGTTATAGAAATACTTTTAAAACACAGTATCTTATATAGTAATATGTGATACCTTATTCATTAAACATAAAGCTCTAACAGTGAGTCTTATAACAACTAATTTGAAGTAATGGTGACTATAAATGTATTTTGAGATCTGCAACAACAGTAATGTGATATGAAAATGTCTGTGACTTGCATTGGTTGGTTCTGTGATTTTTTTGTGTAAGATTTATTTATTTATACAAGAACCGGGGTATAGGCCAGATGCGCGGGAGGGTGAGAGGATTCACCAGAGAGCGCAGAACAGAACAGGCAGACTGACGAAATACACTGCTGAGGGGAGCAGTGGGTGAGACAGGAGAGGTCTGCAGCGCCATGCGGCTTTCTTCCCGGCTGGCCAGCCAGGATCGAACTCACACCGCAGAGGCTGCGGACAGCTTCACAGCGCTGCACTCAACCCACTGTGCCACCAGGGAGGCCCTGGTTCTGTGACTTTTATTGGTGGCAGGTACTGCTAATACCATTGTGGTTTACTGCTCTAGTAACTTATTAATAGCTCCCAATGAACCCCACCTCCTAAATCTATGCTCTTGTGTAGTGCCCCACCATATGGATTCTGGGCTAGGCCATGTGACTTGTTTTGACATCAGCAAACTTGACACAAGCAGATAAGTGTTGACCTATTGGGACTTGCCCTCTTGGAACTCAGCAGCCATATGAGGAAGATCAAGTTAACCCCCCAGACACAGGCATAAGGCCACCTGGTAGTCCAGCCACTAGCTGAAATCAGTTGCTAGGGAATGCCAACAGAACTACCCAGGCAACCCACAGAAGGTAAGAAAAGAAATAGTAATTCATAGTTTTTTTTAAGGCACTGGTTTGCAGCAGTTTGTTATCTAGCAACAGATAACTGAAACTATTTCCTACATTCATAAAGGAAGAAAACTGTTCAATTTCGGTTGGAGATTGGTGAAAATATTCTCTTTTTTTTTTTTTTTCTCTCATCAGAATTCAGACGGCCCCTGAATTCTATCTGCAGATCCTTTGAGGAAGTTGAAGACCAGAAGTTAAAGACCTCTTGGCTCTCCTTTTTACTGCCACAGTACCTTGTCGATACCCATATCACAGCATATCATTTGTTGACACAGCTCTAAAACTGAGCTAAGCTACTTGCTCACAATAGGTGTTAGGCATAAATATATCAAACGAATGAAAGTTCATATAGGAGGTGTCTTACTGACGAAACTGTATGCTATCTGAAAAGAAAAGCAAATACTTAGGGAGCATTTCCATGTGCCACGGCCTCATCCAAGTGCTTTACACATAATAACATATTTATTCCTTTTAAAAGCCCTATGAGGTAGAGTCTTCCCCCAATTCCCAAAATGGGTAAACAGCTACAGAGAGATTAAGTGACTTGCCCAAGGTGACACAGCTAGAAGTGGTAATACCAGGAGGGAAGGTAGAATCCATGCTAGAGTTTTATAGCCTACACTAATGTACCCAAAACACATTGCAGGAACTCAATAAAAATTGTAAATTATACTACTCAAGTACAAATTTGAGATTTCCTTAACACAATGAATGCCATGCTTCTTTAAGACTCAATTGAGTACACTAATTTGTGGTAGCTTATTTGTTCTTCATGATAGAAAGCATTTACTTTTTAATTTTTTTTTTACATTTACTTTTTTTAAATGTAGACTGGCTTAGTGTCAAAACGCAGATTTTTGACACAAAGTCTTCACTACAAAAGTCGGTTTCTTTCAAAGGACTCAAGTTCATAACATGTAAGGGGATAGAGACTTGTTCTTACTAAGTAATGTTCTCCGGGCAGGGGAGGAAAGCTAGAATGTCCCCCTCTCCTAGCCATTCCCAGGTCAGCCTACCCGCCTCGCAGCAGCTTCTCCAAAGGTGACCCTCCCTCATCCACACACCAGGTTCTGAAACCTGACCCTGCCAGCCAACCAAAACCGGACCCGCAGTGCCCAGAGCTGGACTCATCCTGCCTACGAACCCAAGAGGGTACTAGCGGGGATATAGGGGGTAGATACTTGGGGGTCCTTTAACTTTTCAAAGTGTTTCATTCACGAGAGCACGACACAAAGGCCCCACCCACCTAGCCCCGGGTGTCACGCCTCCGCCCAGATGCAGCTCGCTCAGAGCCGACGAGTGAATGAAGCGCGCGACCAAGAAGCACCATGCCCGGAGGAGGGGAAAACCCCGTGGCGATCCGGGCCAGGCCCCCAAAGATGCCGATGGGACCAAGGGTAGGGCTCCGGGCGGCCGGGAGGGGATGGTGACAGCTGTGACCCGGCTCCACGCTCTCACCTTGAACATGTCGCTGGCAGCGGCGGCTCCGGCGGGGTCACCCCGGCCTTGGGCCCGCCCACTACGAAGAGGCGGCTACGGCGGCCCGGTTGGGTCCTGATTCCTCACCGCAAGCGGAGCGCGGTGCGGAAGCCCGCGGTATAGTCAGTTCGATCCCGCGAGGTCTTAATTCGGAAAATTGGGCTGGAAGCAGCGTGGCAGAGCCGCAGGGCGTCGCGCCGGGGGCGGCGAGCAAGCGCAAGCCCCGCCTCCCCGGTGGCGCCCCTCCGGCGGTTGCTAGGCGGCGGGAAAGCGCCAGCTCAATGTGGGCGGCCCTTGCGGCGCGGGGAGGGAGGAGCCGAGCGCGGCGCCGCCGGCGCTGGGAACCCGCCTTCGCCGCCGTGATTGGGCGGCGGGAGGCTGGGAATCCTGTGCTCCGAGGCCGCCGGGCGGGGGCGCTCGACCGGCCTCCGGAGGCGTCGATCGCCTCGCGGCCGGAAGCCGCGGGTGTCGGGAGCCTAGAATTACCTCACAAAAGGTCTTCTCATTTTAATCTCGGGCTGCACGGTTCTGAGCTTTGCATTTAAACTCATTGGCCACGTCCTTTAGTCTCGAAAGGCCCGGGCTGTCCCCAGACTTCCCCCCCTCTTTAATATACATTAGTGTGTAGCCTCACTTGAGGATGTAATGTCCCTTAATACTGATAGAAATAAATTGTAACAACAATAATTATTTGATTAACAAGAACAACAAGCTCTAACACAGCGTTTACTCTGTCCCCAGCTACGATCTAAACACCTTCTGCAGGTCCACCTAATCTTTCCAAACACCAAGTAGCTGAGCACGATTATTATTCCCAATCTAATAGATAAGGAAACTGAGGCACAGAGACATAATGTGTACAAGGTCACACAGAAGGAAAGTAGGAAGCCAGGATCCAAACCCAGGTATCTGGCCTTTAGGGCCTGTTCGCTCCCCGCCTAAGCCATTGTTTCCTAATTCGTTATGCATTTTACGACCTAACCCAGTAGATGGCATAAATCCCATTTGGGGGACTTGTGCGGTGGTGTGTCACTGCCCTCCAGTGAAAGATCACTAGGAACTCCTCTGTAGTGGAAGAAGTTGAGTTTATTTCTCCTTGCTGTGAAGAACTGTGGGGCATCTCAGTAAGTGGTTGTTAGGAAGATTTATTATAGAAGTCAGGCTTCAGTTGGGTAATTTTCGGGGGAGTTCAAGGAAGCAGGACTTTCTTTTGGATTGGGTGTCTTAAAGAAGCAGGATAATTCCAAAGCCCAGCTGTGAAGGCCAGGCCTGCTCCCAGATGTTAAAGGCTACTTTTCTCTTTCTCAAGAGAGTTGTATATTCTTCCCCAACCCCATCCCATCCCCATCCCTAAGGAGAAATATTGAGTAGACTGAAGGTTCTGCATTAGTAAAAGAATGTCATATATATACATATACATATATATCTGTGTGTGTATACATTTATGAAGTATAACGGTAAGCGGAGGCAGGAGTTCTTAATTCAGGGCCTATGTAAACTTGGATGGGGAAAGAAACTACCACTTTATATTTACTAACCTCTAACTGAACTTGAACTTTTCTTTCATTTATACCATATGCAACAAACCACATTGGTAACAGCAGTAACTGTGACTTGGTCATCAATACAAAGCACAGATACTTTCCTATTACATTACAGTCATGGCAGGTTTCTTGAAATATGACTTCTGTTCATTATTACTTCAAAAGTACAGTAGTTATTACAACTCTCATTTAATGATAAGTCTTTTCTAGAATGTTTGGTTTTGAAAAGATTTTGATGATTCAAGTATAACTTTAGTTCTTTGTAATACTAAATATTTTGTACACGTTAATAAAACATAATTCTTTGAAGGGGTCTGTTCACAAGGGTATATGGCCCCAAAAGAAAAAGTAGAGAGTCCCTGGTTTAGTAGAAGAGACTAAATAGTGACTAAGAATTTGGAAACTGCATCCAAATTAGAATAATTCTTCAAAGGATGGAAAATTAGAGATGGAATAAGATCATTTCATACATACCTCCTCATGTTACCAAGGAGGAAGTGAGCTACTGAAAGGTTAAGGGACTTATCCAAAGTATCACAGCCGTTCCATGATAAAACTGGATTGGAAAGTTTTCAGACATGCAGGTAAAAGACTTCTACCCTGCTTGGCTCTTCCATGATTAATAAGACGTCTCCTGCCCTCAAGGAGCTTGTTGGGGTGACAGCCAGAAAACAAATTACAAAGCAATATGAGAAGTACTATAAAAGAAAAACATACACAGTATGATGACCCGTTGGAGACAGGAGTGCTCAGTTCTATTTTAAAAAAAAGAGAAAGTGGAAGACTTCAGAGAAGAGGTATCAATTAGCTGGGTTTTGAAAGATGAATTGATGTTGGCTGGTGGTAAGGAGGTCATTCCAGGTAGAGGAAAGGGCATGGTCAGAGGCACAGAGTTGTAAATCGTTGACTTTGGCAAGAAGTTCTTGTCCTCACAAAATATAGAGGAATGCTGGTGAGAGTTGGTATTTTGAGATTTGAAAGAGAGAGTAGAACTAGAAGGTGAAAAAACTTGAATGCCATTCTAAGGAGTCTGGACTTCAACTTGAAGAAAATGAGGTGTCCTGAAAGATTTTTTTCAGTTGGGGAATGATGAAGTTAGATTACTGCTCTAAAAAATTAACTCCCATTGCAATGTGGAGGATGAATAGGAGGAGAAGAGACTGGAGACAGGGGACTAGTTACAAGGATGTGGATGATCAACTTGTCTTTCCCATATACCTCATAATATTTTTAGTACACAAAGGATGTAAACTGTAAGCAACATTGAGAGATCCACCTTGCCCCCCTTTTTAAGGGGTTCTGGAATAAATGCAATAATCATATGGCACTGAAGTCTTGTCCAAACAGTGAAATAATAGTGTAATAATACAGATTATGACTTCAAATGCTTAATTTATGTACTTTCAGGGTACTTCACTGTAAGTAAAATGAACCCCATCGCAAAGACATCCCCTTCTAGTATTCCAGAATCAGATACTCTGCGTTTAGTAAGCGAACATAAAGTAGACTCATCAAGCTCTGTCAATTCAAATCCTGATAAACAGTAAGTAACCATCTTGCGCCTTGTATCATTATCCACAACTGGTATTTTCCATCTATTTACCCAGCTGACAGCAAACACTTCTTTTGTAAATGAGAGGGTTTTTTGTGTGTTTTAAAATGACTTTTGAATTGAATAATAATTATTATAATTATGGTATTTCATAATTTACAAAGCATGTTAACACATATCTCTTTGATCCTGACACAACTTTGTGAAGCAGTCTTTTTTTTTTTTTTTTTTTTTTTTTTTTTTTTTTTTATAGAGGCATGCTTTATTTATTTGTTTGCTGGTTTGTTTGTTTGTTTTGTTTATACATGCACTGGGTACAGTCAGAAGCGCGGGAGGGCGAGAGAATTCACCAGAGCCAGAGCGGGGAGCAGAGCAGGCAGAAGGACCGAAGTACACTGCTGAGGGGAGCAGCGGGCGGCAGGAGAGGTCTGCGCGCCATGTGGGACCCTCCTCTGGTGGCCGGGGAGCAGCCGGGGATCGAACCGGCGCCGCAGAGGCCGCGCGCAGCTTCGCAACCCAGCGCTCAACCGCTGCGCCACCGGGGAGGCCCTGTGAAGCAGTCTTAATACATTTTTTAAGTGAAGAAGCAGCAACTGGGTGAAGTGGGCAAGTGATTTGCTGAGGGTTAAACAGCTGATAAATGCCATCAGCTAGGAGTCAAAGGTTTGTTTCCATACTACAGGTCTTTTCTACGCTACATCTCATAGTCTGCATTTTGCCAGCCAATGGTGACATTATACAGAAGTAGTTCTCTTTGCCTGTAGCCCTGTGAGGGGTAGTGATGGAGTGGGGTGGTCTTGGAGAGGGAGACCCCAACACTGTGCCAATACTGAGACATGATCAAAAGTAGAATTATTCTCTAGCTTGGCTGTGATTGATGAGCCTAGTTCAAGCAAAGATCAGAGAAAGGAGTTTCATTTTTAGGCCATAGTCATCTGCTTTGAGAAGAGAATTTAGGCCTACTGTTACTTCAACTATTCCACATTCTATTATCAGAACACTTGAAGTGGTTGGGCTACTTTTTAGGAAGTAACTATAACAATCATTTTCAGTCATGGATATTTGTGAAGAGTAAGTGTTTCTCCTCACACATTTTATTTATAATATATATGCCTTTTAATGATGAAGTTTTTAGGCAGAATGTGGTTTTAATCTCTAGGGAAATCTTCTCAAGTACTTCAAATCCTTATTCTGACTAGATTCTGCAAATGACCAGTTCCAATTACCACATCCAAATGTTCCTCGTTAAGTCAGTTTTTGGATGGGGGCTGAGGGCGTACAGGAAGAGGTAGTACAAGTTCAGAGTTCCTCAAGATTTTAGGAGTGAAAAGTACATCACAAGTCATAACCTCTTTTTTTTTTCCTTTCAGACCTGCTAGAGATAGAGCAGCTAAAATAATACAGAAAGCTTGGTTATGTTATTCGGACAAAGTGATATTTCAGCTTCTAAAGCATACAGTCTGTGCAGCGGTATGTATTTTTTGTTTTTGTTTTCTCTGACAAATGTAATGCTTATTAAGCTAAAAATTCTGTTAATGAAAGATAAAATATATAACCTTTTTATCTCTTCTATTTAAATTCTTTCTATAACATGGGGTTCTGGCATGGCTTCTTGAGTTAGCCCTAAATTAATATTTCTAGATTTATTTTTAATTATGGGTGCTATTATTTCTTTTTTGACAATATGATGGTTTTTTTTAAAAAATTCAGTTTCTTATTTAAAGATGTGAGAGAATGATCTTCCAACAATAAAAATATCTTTATTAAAAGTGCCCTTACCTTCCACTTCCATCAATTTCACTTCTAGGAATCCATTCTGTAATATATGTACAATTTCATTGTAGTATTGTTTATAGTAGCAAAGAAAGTAAACCGTATATGGGAGTGTTGGTAACTTATCCAAAGGCATACAGTTAGTAAGTGGGGAAACCAGTATTCAAACTTACATTTGTTTGACTCTAAAGCCTCCACTCTTACCTATGATGCTGCTTAAACTAAATGCCTCTAACAGTTACATAAAAGTGTGCACTAAAAGACTTTCAAAATGACAAGGCAGGGCCTCCCTGGTGGTGCAAGGGATTAAGCACCGCACTATGAAGCACTCCGCAGCCTTGGCAGCACGAAAGAGTTCGATCCCAGGGAGCAACCCATATGGCGCAGCAGACCTCTCCTGACTCGTCCGCTGCTCCCCTCAGCAGTGAATTTCAGTCAATCTGCCTGTTCTGTCCCCCACTCTGTCTCTGATGAATCCTCTCACCCCCGCATCTCTGGCCTGTACCCCAGCTCTTGCATGCAAAAATAAATAAATCTTAATAAAAAAAAAAACAAGCAGTTACCAAAAAAAACAAATAAATAAAATGACAAAGCATTATTAATGTAAAGTAATAACTTGTAGCATTAGGATAACAGTTTTTTAAAAAGAATGTCCTTTCTGTTACTAAAAGAGTAAAATTAGAAAAACACTGATAATTAATAATTATTATTTATTCGTTAATTAAAAAAACTGATAATTAAATACAAGTTTCATGTGTGAAGATAATAAAGGACCTGAAATGGCACAAGTTTACCTGGATGGATTTTCTCTGAAGCATTCTGTTTTTACTAATATCAAAAATGGGTCTAGGGGTCAGATGGCGAAGAAGTGGACACACTGCTTAGACTTCATGATTTTTCAGAACAGGTAAAATTCCCTTAATGTGACTATTACTAATTATAGACTAATTATAATCATGGATGATTTTACTAGGAGAATACTCGGTACCATCTATAGCAGGTTTACTACTCTGCCAGGGTTGCCAGAGTTATCATTCTGGGGTGTGGGAGCAATTGTATCTGCTTTGTGTTTTGTTTTTAACTCAAATAGGACCATATCATTCATACCATTCTGCCCTTGTCTTTTTCATTAATGAGATATTCTAGCTGTTTTCCTATTGCTGAATCATATCAACAGCTGGAAGGTTAACTAGTGTATCCATCTATCAATGGACATAACCCCTAGAAAGGGGTTATGCGGTGCTTAACACCTTGCGCCACCAGGGAGGCCCTGCTTTGTCATTTTAAAAGTCCGTTAGTGCATAGTTTTATGTAACTGCTAGAGGCATTAAGTTCAGGCTGCATCATAGGTAAGAGTGGAGGCTTTAGAGTCAAACAAATGTAAGTTTGAATCCTGGTTTCCCCACTTACTAACTGTATGCCTTTGGGTAAGTTACTGACACTCCCAGAACCTCAGCAGCTTGTTTGTAAAATGGGAATGATAATATTCTAATAATAATACTGAGTTGGAAGGATTAAATGAGGCTGTGTGTATAAGTCACCTAATGTATTATGTGGTTTGTAAAACATGATTAAGAACTAGTAGCTTAGGGCCTCCCCGGTGGCGCAGCGGTTGAGCGCTGGGTTGCGAAGCTGCCCACAGCCTCCACAGCACTGGTTCGATCCCCGCCTCACCAGGCGAGGGTCCTACGTGGCGTGCAGACCTCTTCTGCCACGCCCTCTGCTCCCTCCCCTCAGCAGTGTATTTCATCAGTCTGCCTATGCTGTTCCCAGCTCTGGCTCTGGTGAATTCTCTCGCCCTCCCGCGCTTCTGACTGTACCCAGTGCTTGTATAAATAAATCTTAAAAAAAAAAAAAAAAGAACTAGTAGCTTATATTTACAACCATCTCATTTTACAGTGATTTATTTAATATGAAATATTTGTTAAGCATCTACTGTATTCCAGGCACTGTACTAGATCTAAGTTATATAGAAGTAAAGAAGGAAGATACTACCCCTACCTTCATGCAGTTACAGTTCACTAAGAGATACAGATGAGTTTGTATGTAGTCACAATACATTGTGAAAAGTGTTGTCATGAGTGAAGAACAGTGCTTAGGATCTCAAGGAGGGGCACATACCTAAACTTGCAGGGAAAAATATGAAATAACTCCCTTGAGGCTATGCACATGATGTAACCAGAACTCCATGCTGTGTCTTGTTATTTTCAGCAAATTGCTGCTGGGTAGAATGCCACTTTTCATTGATAGCTTTATCATCTATTTCAGGAATTTTATGCAACACATGAAATTCTGAAGAAAGTAAGCCCCTCGGAGGCTGAGCTTATTAAAGATCCTAGCATGAAACACAAAATTCGATTCAGGTAATATTTCTATGCTGGTTTATTTCAAGAAATGCTTAGTTAATATGAAGAAATCTTCAAATTTAGTTTTTTAATTCCTCATTACTTCTTAGGATGTAAATACAAAGTAAATGTTGTGTCTCTTATTGACATTTATTTATTTTTGAAGATTTATTTTTATTTATTTGTGCATACAAGAGCTGTAGGCCAGGGGGTGGGGTGCAGTGGTGAGAGGATTCACGAGAGACAGAGTAGGGAGCACAGCAGGCAGATCTATTGAAATCCACTGTTGAGGGGAGCATAAGGCGAGACAGGAGAGGTCTGCTGCACCATCTGGGTCAGCTCTCTGGCTGGGGATCGAACTCAGGCCACAGTGGCTGGTGATATCTTGATAGCGCTGAGACTTGAACCCCTGCTCCACCAGGGAGGCCCCTATTTACATTTATTATATGAAGAAACTGAGGCATGACTCTTGAGCCAAAAGTTGCCTTGAGAGTGTCCCTCATCTCTGTGACATGTCCAGTCTGACTAAGGTATGAGAACAGTTGTGAGCCCGCACACCTAAGTGTGCGTCTTTTGTCCTCTGTGACCCCTTTCATTCTCAGTGCTCTCTTGCCAGGCACAGCCTTTACCCCACATATGGGGAACTATGTGAACCACATTAAGTACCAGTGGGAAGAATAAGTGACCCCCAAACCTGGTGCCAAATGGCTAATTTTTTGGTATTTATTTCAGATTTAGTGGCGAAAAATTTCCACCTTACATTGTGTTTAAAATTTTTCTTCATACCGAAGGCCGTGGTTACAAGTATTTCAGTGGAAAAAATTTATTGAAGTCATCAATTGAGGTGATGTTTCATGATGTATATTTTATGTTAATTTAGCTTCTTAACATCTATGTAGTTTCTGAATTGCAGTCACAGCGCACAGCCTTATTTCACCATTAAACAGCCTAGCAGGCAGGTGGTATTTTTTTTAGCATCATGTTTCAAAATATCTTTGTTTATTAGCTAAAAAAATATTGATATGAATGCCTTATGTAAAGCCCTAGAAAATGCCCGTCACTTTTCTTTGTATTAAAATTTTGGTTTATACCTACAATTTGACTGAGAATTGAGGCTATCAGAGGGATAGGGTGTGGGAGGGGAGTAAACTGGGGTGCCGGGGGACAATGGACTATGGTGGAGAACCATGGGTACCTTGGTGGTGGGCATGATGTGGTCACACATCTGAAGAGGTGTGGTCCTGTGCCTCTGAATCCTAAATAAACATTACCTCAATACAACAAAAAATATATGATAAAAAATTAAATTTTGCTTTATAAATGATGGGTGAAAGTGGCCTATTGACCAGGACTTTTAAATTATGCAGAATGTTTGATGCAATTTTATTTGTTTTGTTTTTTTCTTGCTTTTCAATAAATGTTACTGAACATTGGTTTATATAATTTTACTTGTTTTCATATTTTATTATAGTTTCTTTGATTCTGGTAGCAGATTTTTGAATGGTGTGCTAGACTATGGAAGATGAACCTTTAAAATATTTGTTCTTTTTTTACATGTGTTCTCATGCTTTCATGTTTCATGAATATTCTCCATAATTGTGTCTATAGCATAGGAAGCACCTGAGGATTTTGTTAAAAATGCAGTTTCTGGCTCAGGAGATTTGAAGAGGGCCAGAGCTGTTTGCTTTTCTAACCAGCTTGTGGGTGCTGCTGCCACTACTGCAGTCCATGCATAGCTCACTGCTTTTACTCTGAAAATGACTATAGTTGAGTTTTTAAAAACGTGTATATTTTCATATTTCACCTTTTATAAACCATCCATCAAAGGTTATTTTTCTGTAGCCTTCTGGAAACATTTTACACAGAAAGCACAGCCTACTTAAAATCATCTCTAATGGCCTGTGTTCAGCATAGAAGACCACACAGCCTGGCAGTTGCTGATCAGATTCGGCATGTGCACCATCGATTCGCTAATGAATATTGGAAAAGGAAAACAGACTGCTTTTCAGGGTGTTCTCAGGCCATAGCAGAGAATATTTAACTCAGTTCCAGGAATGCTTCAAATGAACTGTGTTCTTTCATATGGAATAGGGTGTTTCAGAAGCATTAATATTTGTTCACTTATAAAATAATTTTACTTCAAATGTGAAAGTAGATATTTACCCTACAATCAAGGCATAAATTCATGCCATATTTATCTACAGAATAAGCTTATAATTATCCCTGTAAAAAATCATCAGTTGTTTCTTTACTGAGGTTATATAATGAGGCTTTTCCAGGAACTGAAATTCTCCCGGGTCCACTGCTGCTGGCCCCTACTGTCCCTAGGCTGAAGCAAATGAGAATCTTAGAAGCCTTGACCGGAAAGTACTGTGTGCTTATTCAAACTCATTAAAATGCTCTATAGTAAGATAAATTTTTATTTAAATTACAAAGTAACTGTTGGGAAAATGAAACTAGCCTAGAGATTTTATTTTTAAAAAAGATTTATTTATTTATGCATACAAGAGCTGGGGTACAGGCCAGAGGTGGGGGGGAGGTGGTGAGAGGATTCACCAGAGACAGAGTGGGGAACAGAACAGGCAGACTGACTGAAATACACTGCTGAGGGGAGCAGCGAGCGGGACAGGAGAGGTCTGCTGTGCCATGTGGGTAACTCCCCCTGGGGATCGAACTCGTGCTGCAGAGGCTGCAGACAGCTTCATAGGCTGTGTCTTAACCCCTTGCACCACCAGGGAGGCCCAGCCTAGAGATTTTGAAGAGGAAAAAAAGAAAAATATGCCTGGATGTCTTTCTCCTCTATACTGCAACTTTCATTCTCCTGATCATTGTTATAATTTGTTGTGTATCCTTCATTTCTCCCATGAAAATATATACACAAATATATTTTAATATTGTGTTTATTCTTATTATAAAAATGTGGTCATACTATTCAGCTTGAGTTTTTCACTAAACATTATAATGGATTTAAGTGATCAGTGAACAGTTTAGGAGTCCTCTTTCCCTTTAGTGCAACTTGAAAACAAACTCTGATAACACTTGGATTCATGGTTGATAGGAAACTTGCAGAAGTGGAATTTTTCTCACATAAGTTTACTCAACTCCAAGAAATTGTATCTTTTTCAAATGGCACCATCTCTCCTAAATTTACTTAATATGCAAAAAATGAGTCAGTTTTTGTCCATTCGGATGTTTAATCTAAGTTCACTGATAAAGGAGGGTAGCGTCACAGACTGTTGCTGTTGCTGTTCCATCTTTTCCCTCGTTCTTATTTCCATTTCTGATTCATTTCCTTATCATTTTCTTCATTTCTTATGTATTCCCTTCACACACACAAAGTGAAAGGATGTAGAATAGCCTAAACAATTTGAAGAATAAAGTTAGAAGATTTGCACGATCCGACTTCAAGAATTAAAAATCTGCAGCCATCCCAGCAGTGTGGTGATGGTGTCAACCTAGACCTGTAGACCCATGGGGTAGAATAGAGTTCAGAAATAGACCCATGCATTGATAAGGTGCCAAGACAGTTCAGATGGTGCTAGAACAATTGGATAGCCATGTGTACAAAAAGAGATCTTGTTTCAGTTACCTACTTCAATGATCTATTTTCAGAGCTATACTTACTTACAGAGGGTTGTCACTATAGTTATTCCAAGAACTATATTTAGAATATTTTAAAACCCTGCTACTCAAAGTGTGGTCGGCCGACCCACAGAGCTTATTAGAAATGCAGACTCTCAGCTTCCACCCACTGATTCAGCATCTGCATTTTTTCAAGACCCCCAGGTGATCCTGGGCATAATATTTATTTGACAAGGATGTCTTAGAGGTTTTCCTTCATGACCATGGTCTGAACACCTCTTGGTAATTGATATTCTTAAACGTTAACGTCCGTCCAGCAACTGTTACTCTAAGTTGAAGATCCCTGTTCTTTTTGAGGCTTGGACATTGATGTAAAAAGGAAAAACATTATTATCATAGCCGCCCTTATTGAGCACCATCAAGTGGGATGTTACATATTTTGCATGCATTTAACTCTTTTAAACTCTAGAATGTAGATTCTGTCATTAGCTCTGTTTACAAAAGACTTAGTAACTTGCGTGAGGTGAGGTCTCCCAACTAGAACGTGAAGGAGCTGAGTCTGTGAGTCTGGCTCCAGAACCCTAACCACTCTCATCCACTCCTGCGTCAGGAAGCCTACTAAACGCTGCCATTCCTGTACACCCCTCCACTGTGAGGAGGGACATGTGATTCCCATTTTGCCTATGAGGAAGCTGGAACTTGGAGAGGGCTGTCAGGAGCGGAACTGAGACTTGAACACTTCTCTGCATTTCTGCTGTACTGTGCACATTTGGAGGTTGAAACCACACCAGCAGTTACAGTGCTTTTATTAATTCTGAGCCTGTACCTAATTGAACTCTTCCAAACCCAGAGGCGCTGTTCCCATGACAGGGATACCAGTTATTACTACCTTCATGAGTGAGAATTTCCAGCCGGGTGGGGAAGTGACTTGAGATATAAGAGTAACTCGACCAGCCCAAGTAGGAATGTAGGCCAGCAAGTAGCTGCAGGATTTGTGGGGGCTTCTGGGCCACGGTGATGCCTGGTGTCAGGGGAGGTATCGGATTCAGAGAGGGCCCCCTCTGACCCTTTGAGTCACCCACTAAGAATGGAACCTGCCTCTTGAATCCCAGCCTGATTGGCTGCTCTCCTGGAATCCTTGCCTAGTTTTTGCCTTTCCCTTTCTCTTGGGGCTGGCCTCTTCTTTCCCATCCCTTCCTCTCCAGGACTTGCCTGAATCTGGCCTTAAACGGCAGATGTCTGAGAAAGAACATCTTGGCCATTGGAGAGCAAACTTTTTTCAAACCCCTGTCACAAATGGGCAGCGAGCCTGTCCTCTCCTGCCAGGCATGGGGTTTTTTTGGCTGCAAGACTGGGACGGGCCTGACACAGCTGAGCCACACAGCTGAGGCACTGTACAAATAAGGAAACTCGGCTGGGAGAGGTTGCTGGTGGTGGCTGAGTGGAGTAGAGTGGGGAGGAACTGACAGGAAATACCTTTTCTAAGTAACTTGAGCTAAAGTAAAATGTGTTATATCTAAAGAAATTCTCAAAGCAGAAATTATATGCTTTTCAGACCTGTTCAGTATACAACTACTTAGTTTTACCTTTAGTGTCACTGAGCGGCTGGTTAATTAAAAACCACAGGAAATTAACTGCAAGGAAGCGTAATGGAGATAATGTGCCAATACTGCCTTTTTATTTAGGTGCATAGTGTATAAAGAAACTAATGAAATGGAAAACAAAAAACTATCTGCCTAATGGCAGGCTCCGTCACATTTTTAGTAAACGGTTTCTGTCCCTTCAATTTAATGCATGAAGAGTAAAATTGTAATCCTGTAGACATTTTCTTTCATTTTCCATACATGTTGTGGTCTAAGCTTGGAAGTTAAAGAAAGAAATTTAAAAGGAATATTATGGATAATGAAAGTGAGAATTGTGATGAAATGCTTCAAGATTCACGTAATACACAGACGTATTGTGTGTTAACTAAAAAGAACAGGGATTCTGAGTTTTGATCCTGACTCAACCACTCTACTATGGCCTCATCTCAGCATTTTAACATGGAGTACCCATATTTTCACAAATACCACATTCTGAGATACATTTGGATATGGACGCAAAAGAGAATTGAATCTTTATCTACACCAGCCACTCTTCGCACCAGCCTACCCTTTGTGGCCAAGTCCACAGATCTGTAATATAAATATATGTTACAGGAGTCAGTGCAAATGATGGGGGGGTGAGAAGGAGGGTGGGGAGTACTTGCACCCCTACTCATAGTCTGTACATAGCTCTTAGCACACAGATAGGTATAGGTGGAAGAGCATGGTGTGAACAGAACCAGAGGATTTGAACCTCTGTATTTTCTGTGATTCTCTGCCCTCTCAGGTGCTTAAGTACAAAATATTGCCATTTACGGGGCCTCCTTGGTGGCACAGGGGTTAAGACGCACCCTATGAAGCTGTCCGCAGCCTCTTCAGCACGAATTCGATCCCTCGCCCGCTGCTCCCCTCAGCAGTGTGTTTCAGTCAGTCTGCCTGTTCTGCTCCCCACTCTGTCTCTGGTGAATCCTCTCTCCCCCTCCTGCACCTCTGGCCAGTTGTTGTATGTATAAATAAATAAATCTTTTTAAAAAAATATTGCCATTTAGGAGAGAAAAAACCATCCTCTACTCTCTAGCTACCGAGAGTGAAGTGTGAAAGAGAGGAAGGTCTTAAGCAATGCAAAAAGTACATGTTTCTATAGATTTCTAGGGTTTGCTTTAGTTTAATTTTGACTGTTCCTTTGTTTTGCTTCTCCACATTTCACATGTGAGTGAAATCAGGTATTTGTCTTTTTCTTTCGGATTTATGTTGTTTTGCATAATCCCCTCCAATTCCATCCATGTTATTGCAGATTTCATTTTTTCTTGTAGCTGAGCACTATTCCATTGTGTATATATATTGAAGCTGCCAGAGAGGGAGGGAGAGGGTAACAAAGATGGCCCCATGGACTGTGCCTCTGTTGGTGGTGAGTGTGGTGTGACCCTCTGCCCCCAAATCACGAGCAATGGTGTGAAACATTGTTGCCTCAATGAAAAATAATACAACAAGAAATATTAAACCAATAAAGCAGGTTTTTAACAATAAAAAAAGAGTACATATTTCCATTGGAGGGCTGTGTGCTAACTAACACAGTGAAGAGTTACAGTTTCTAGGGCAACCTACTTAATAACCAGATAGGGGTTTTCTGCATTGACAACACAAATGAGGTTACTGGTTTGTTTTGTCTTTTAAGGGAAAAATGTTTTTTGAGGAAGGAAAACAGATTTTTAAAAAACTGATCCTCAGAGCACTGTAGCTACTCATCTAGTTGCATTTTAAGACTGTGTAGATGTGATTATGGAAACAAATCTTAAGTGGTTTAAAAATCCCTCTATAATCTTTTCTGGTAAATAACAGTCTTTCTATTGACTGGCAAGCTGCTAGGAGAAAGGGACAATATTTGATGTATTTGTCACAAAAAATATGTAAAGTTAATGCTGATAATTATCGCTATTATACTATTTTGAAGGTCTGTTTCTTCCTCTCTTTATAGGCAGCATCTGATATTTATAGATTGGTAGGGAAAAAGAAATTTTACAACCAAATTATGAAAGATGAACATCTTAACCAGAGGTTTAAAATATCTGAGGAAATAGATGTTATCACCGTTCGAGATTACATGCAGGTAAGGAATTAAGATTTAGGCATTGAAAACAAAGAAACAAAAGTTTTCCTGAATTTATCCCTCCAAGAAGAAAGAATCATGCTTTTTTGTGTGGCAAAATATACCTAATAGAGGGCCTCCCTGGAGGCACAAGAGGTTAAGCACCGCATTATGAAGCAATCACAGCCTGTTTAGCACGAGTTCGATCCCCGGCTGGCCAGGGAGAAACCCACATGGCTCAGCAGACCTCTCCTGACTTGCCCGCTGTTCCCCTCAGCAGTGTATTTCAGTCAGTCTGCCTGTTCTGTTCCCCACTCTGTCTCTGGTGAGTCCTCTCACCCCCCACACCTCTGCCCTGTACCCCAGCTCTTGTATGCATAAATAAATAAATCTTTAAAAATACATAATAGCAATTTTGCCATTTTAACCACTTTAGAGTGTACAATTCCATGGCATTAAACTAAATTGCACAATGTTTCAGAGATATTAAAAATCACCACTGTGTCATTCCAGAAATATTTCTTGTCACACCAGAAGGAACCATCACATTAAGCCATCATCGCCCCACACTCCTTTATCACTCCAGCCCCTGTCAACCACTAACTTGCTTTCTTTATCTCTGAATTTGCCTATTCTGGACATTTCAAATTAATGGAATCGTATAATATGTCACTTTTTCTTTCTAGGAAGTGATAGTTAAGGGATGTGGGACTTCTTTTGGGCTGATAGAAATGTTTTAGAATTACATAGTGGTGCTATGTAGTGTGAATTAACTAGAAAACCACTGAATTATACACCTTAAAATGGTGTGTTATATATTATGTGAACTTTATCTCAACTAAGAGAGGGCATAACAGGGATGTGATGGAATAAGGAAGAGTTCTACTACCGTTTGGATGTTTTCTGCCACAAGTAGCAGAATATTCCCATACACAAGAGCTTAAGCAGGAAGTCCCTAGGTAGATGGATGCAGGGCTAGCTAATGCAGCTGCCCAAGGGCGTCAGAGTTCTGGGTCAGCCTCTCCACAGCTTCTTTCACATGGTAACAAGATGTCTATTACATTCTCAACCACATTCAATGGCAGGAGGAAGTGGACTCCTAGAATCTTACTATCCCAAGAAAATAAAATCTTTCCCAGAAGTCCCCAAAAGATTCCCAGCAGATTCCATTGGTCAGATATGCTCCCCCTAAACCAGTTACTAATCAAGGGAAAGGGGATGGTTTCCCATGATTTTCTTAAAACAACCCTGGTTCCCAGGGCATGTTGCTGCCCTATATCTCAAACAACCAGGGGCCCACGAGCAAGGGAGAAATGTGAAATGGTTGCGGGACAGGGAGTCAGTGTGTTAGTCTCAGAGTGGGACTCAGTAGGTAGCATCCCCCAAGCCAAGGCTCTGTGGCAGGACAAGCTCCAGGGCCTAAAAGCAGGTCTGTAGGGCTGGAGAAGAGAGAGCAGGAAGGGTGTGGTAAGCAGTCAGCCTGAGAGGCTGGTAAGGAATCATCGTGAGGGGCTTTATACCATAGTAACGTTTGTTTGATTTTGATTTTGTGTACAAGGAGAAACTGGAACATTGTTTTAAGCAATGAGGTGATCTAATCTAATGAGTGAAAATATCCATCTGACTGTGTAGAAAGTAGATTAGAGGAAAGCAAAATCTTTCTCCTAATTTGGAGGTTCCTGGAGTGTTTTAGGAAAGATGGTGGTATCTTGGTGTAGGGCTGTGAGGCTGGAGATGAAAGAGATAATTAGAGAATAAAAGCTGTGGACCTTGGTAACAGACCAGGATGAAGGGCTGGGGTTGTTGAGCTAAGGGAAGGTGTCCAGCGTGGCGCCTAGGTTTCAGGTTTGCATAACTGAATGGACAGCAATGCTCAATCAGGGAACTTAAACTAGATACCTGAATAGTAAAAGCAAATGCCAACATAATACCAATTCCTTTTATTCTCTTGGAAGTTCTAAGAGATAAGATCATTATTACCCCCATTTTATGATTTTAAAGACACAAGGGATCCCAGAATACTCGCTTCTAATATATGGCCTTCACTATTCACGCAATTGCTTCAATGGGAAGCATGAAAGTAATGCAGTGCCTTAGAGATTCCCAATTATGTTTTTTTCATTTGGCGCCTTAACCTAGATGATTAGGGAATTTGACAAGGAATTAAGTAGAGCTTGGGGATGCCAACTAGCTTTACTAAAGACATAGGTCACATATTGCAGATAACGACTATGCCAAGGGTTGGAGACGTAGAGCGGGGTCCCCTCATAGACATACTGGGAGAGATACAATTATTACTGACATTTATGGAAACTATATAGACATAAGACTCTTTTAAATTCTTTGTCAAATTGAGATCTAATTGATGTCTTAGTTCTTTTGGGCATATTATTTCCTTTAGTTTTCAAATCTGTAAATTGAGACTCCTTTTAACAATGAGATAAATGGTGTGAAATGAGATTTTTTAAAACTCGCCCAAGCTTCCCAAATGGACAATGGTGGAGGACTATGGATGTCCTCCATGGTGGTGGGTGTGGTGTGGGAACATGCATCTGAAGAGATGTGAACCTGTACCTCTGAATCATATGCAGTGTTGTAAACTAATTTTACCTCAATTTTAGAAATACAATTAAAAAAATAACTTGCCCAAGATCATGCAGCTGAGTGCAGAGCAAATCATTGACAGTTTGAGATGTTTTACCATTTTACTGTTGCTCTCTCAGGAGATAAAATATGAAGGCAGTCTTCACTGCACAGCAGTTCAGGGCCATGAAACTAACTATGCAAGCTGAAACCGTACAAAACAAACTTAACAGTCAATGGAAATCGTGATCGTTCCATGACCTTTAAAATTTTTTCTCAAAATGTTAAGAACTCCCTTACTGTATGATATAAATGTATAAGAATATGAAAAAAAGCAAAACATTTATTTAGTGCATTATAATTTAAACCATTAGGAACATTGAAACTTTCTTTGTCAAAAACATAGTAGTGAATATACTAAAAACCAATGAATTGTTCACTTCAAATGAGTGAATTGCAGATGAATCTCAATAAAGCTGTAGAAAAAGCAACTTATCAAGAGTAGTTTGAACAGTACTGGTCTTCTTGTTCTCATGTGACTTACAATACATATCTTCTCCATGCCTTGGTCAATTGTCATACTCTTGTCTAAGTTTGGATCACCCACCAACATTTTATGCTTTGCACTTTAAAGGTTGTAAAATAACTCACATTTCCTTTAATGTGAAATGTCCATCTGGGACAGCTTTATCCTTTTTGTCACAGCCACTTTTCTAATTTATGTTGATAAATTCATCTTCGCCATGTTCCTCCAGGTACCTATCTTCAGTCTTTTTTTTTTTTTTTTAAAGATTTATTTATTATTTATACAAGCACTGGGTACAGTTTTATTTATTTATTTATTTGTTTATTTATTTATACAAGCACTGGGTACAGTTAGACATGCAGGAGGGTGAGAGAATTCACCGAGCCAAAGCGGGGAGCAGAGCGGGCAGAAGGACCAAAGTACACTGCTGAGGGGAGCAGCAGGCGGCAGGAGAGGTCTGCGCGCCATGCGGGACCCTCCTCCAGTGGCCGGGGAGCAGCCGGGGATGGAACCGGTGCTGCAGAGGCTGCGGGCAGCTTCGCAACCCAGCACTCAACCACTGCGCCACCGGGGAGGCCCCATCTTCAGTCTCTTGAATGATGACCCTGTCAGTTTATCCAGTCACCTATTCCTTCTAGAACTACATTTACATCTGATTTGAATTTCATTTCCAACATTACCACTTTTTCTTTGTTGATCTATTCCCTTTTTTGATTATCAATTTTTCAAAAAATGTCACAGGGGGCTATAATCAGGAGACAGAGGCAACACCACTACATACTTTGCTGTCTGTGTGTGAGCTAAATAACAGTTCACAATGACTAATCACTGCCACACTGGAAAAAGTGACATTTTTGTCACTAATCCCCAAGCATATCTGTGATTTAGGTAGTGATCTGTGCACTAAGGAGCTAGCAACAGAGTTTATACGTTATGCAATTACTTAGTTATTACTATGGTAACTGAAATTTGAAGTATGATGTTGGAGGACTGGGATTATTCAATTAAATGGTGATAATGGAAATTCATGCATGCCTAAATGGTACAAAGGGAGGACTGCGCATGTGTGTGTGGGAGTGAGAGTTTGTATATGGAGATGGTATACTCTAATACCTAGCGGTTATTCCATTTCCTAGTATCTTAGCTTCTGTTGTCCTATTCCTATCTCTTAAACGAACATTTATAAAGTTGAATTGATGGGCCTCCCCGGTGGTGCAGCGGTTGAGCGCTGGGTTGCGAAGCTTCCCGCAGACTCTATGGCGCCGGTTCGATCCCCGGCTGCTCCCCGGCTACGGGAGGAGGGTCCCACATGGCGCGCAGACCTCTCCTGCCGCCCACTGCTCCCCTCAGCAGTGTACTTTGGTCCTTCTGCCTGTTCTGCTCCCCGCTCTGGCTCTGGTGAATTCTCTCACCCTCCTGCACTTCTGACTGTACCCAGTGCTTGTATAAATAAATAAATAAAAATAAATCTTAAATAAACAAATAAATAAAGTTGAATTGATTATATCTATTAAAGATATAAAATTGATTATGTCTACCACAGTTCTTGTATTATTACTTGCATTTTTTAATTCACAATTTGATCTTATAAATAAAAAGCGAGATTTCTACACATATTTTAAATTAAAATAGTGAAATCCACCACTTAGCACCAGAGAGGAACTTTTTGTGTCTAAAAAAGTTTGTATATGGGCCTCCTGGGTGGCGCAGCGGTTGAGCGCTGGGTTGCGAAACTGCCCGCGGCCTCGGCAGCACCGGTTCGATCCCCGGCTGCTCCCCGGCCACCAGAGGAGGGTCCCACATGGCGCGCAGACCTCTCCTGCCGCCCGCTGCTCCCCTCAGCAGTGTACTTGGTTCCTTCTGCCTGCTCTGCTCCCCGCTCTGGCTCTGGTGAATTCTCTCACCCTCCCGCGCTTCTGACTGTACCCAGTGCTTGTATAAATAAATAAAAAAAAAAATAAAAAATAAATAAATAAATAAATAAAAAAAAAGTAAAATCCTTTTAAAAAAAATAAAATAAAATAAAAAGTTTGTATATCCTGCAATAAAACCACATCCAGCTGCTTCCAAGGAACATTTCAAAGTGACTTAACTGAACATGCATGTTCCCCATTCCTAAGATTTGTAGTTTATAAACTTATTTTACTTATTTTGTTGGATGACTTAGTATCTATGTACATTTCTAAATATTAATTAAGTGTAATTATAAAGAATATATATTGAATCCAGGGATTACATTTTGAAATCATTATAATTGTTTTTTGCTGAAGTGCCTGATATGAAAGTATGTCATTAAAAAGACACATATTTTTGAAAACAGATTATACAAATGTCCTCTCAACCAAAGCATGTTATGAACCAGTACTACCACATATGCATATCACATAGCTATTATCAATTTTTAGGCTATCCTGAGTTTAATTTTTCTGAGTTATATTGGCCATTAAAATATTTGTGCATTAATAATATTTGACATCAGGAAGAGCTAAAGACAAGCCTGGATTTGAATAATGCAAAAAAAGTTTATGCATTAAATAAATGTTTAGGGAGCGTGGTACTATGAAAATAATACTGTGTGACAATGACCCTGCCTTCCATAAAGGAGCTAAAATGTACACAGAGGGAGCTAAAACATTGATCGTCGGTGATGAAATTCATAGAAGAGAGGTGCCAATAAAGTTCAGAGATGGGGCTTCCCTGGTGGTGCAAGGCGTTAAGCACAGCACTATGAAGCTGTCCGCAGCCACTGCAGCACAAGTTCCATCCCCGGCCGGCCAGGGAGCAACCCACCCGGCGCAGCAGACCTCTCCTTTCTCGCCCGTGGCTCCCCTCAGCAGTGTATTTCAGTCAGTCTGCCTGTTCTGTTCCCCGCTCTGTCTCTGGTGAATCCTCTCACCCTCTGCACCTCCAGACTGTACCCCAGTTCTTGTATGCATAAAAATAAATAAATCTTTAAAAACAAAAAGTTCAGAGATAGGCTTAAGGAATACCTTTTGAATGAGGGGTGACCCATGAGTGGAACCTTGGGAAATGGGTCTAGAAACTTCAAGACCAAACATTCATAATTGTTTTTTTCCATCTAGTATTCCAGCCTTCTCGATGAGATCCCCGCATCTTCTGGTGGTAGAAATAATTATTGGCGGAGATTAAACCTTGAAAACATTCCCAGGACCATGTTAATGTATGACATAGTTGATTTTGTGCAGTCTGGAATAATCTCAGCCCGTCTACAAAAAGTAATAAAGTATCTATCACGGAGACCAAAAACAGAAGAGATGCGTCAGCACCAGCTCCGGATTGTTTCTGAAGTTAGGTAAAAATGATTCTTCACTGGGGTTGCAAGGCTAGGGGTGTTTCTGAAAATGTTCACAATCTGCTGCATAGCTCACTAAAGATAATAATAGGACATGTGGGAAAACGAGAGTTGGGGAAGATTGCTCAAAGCTTATGCAATTTTGTCAACAGAGCACTAACTGAAAGGACAAGTGGCACCTGGGGAGACAGCTTATACCACCAGAAAGGCAGTTCGGGGTAGCTGGAAGTCATAGCAAATATACAAAATATACAGCAGTGCAGTAGAAATGCTGGTGACAGTTGAATGAGAACAGGTAGTGGGCAGTGACATGGTAAAGAGGAAAGTGGCGCCCTGAGCCACTGCAGACGCCTCTTAAGAGGACATATGAGGCAGCGCGACCTGCCAAGAACCAAGAACCACTCAACGAGAAAAGTGGGGTGAAGGGCAGTAGAGGTGGACTGTGAAATGGGGATGCCTCTCTGGGGAGAGGGCTGTAGGTGCAAGGGCTGTTTTGTTTAAATAAACAAGCCAAAAGGGCTCCTGTTATCCATGCCCCATGGAGCTGAAGATTGTAATTCTACTCTTGCTATGCTGGCTCCCCCGGGTGTGGATAAATTGCAAATAAATTACAGTGACATTATTCCCTTTTAACCAATAGCAAGTGAGCTGGTTCACAGTATAGAAACGCATGTCGTAGCAAAATACGCTGTATGATGATGTGAAACAAGATGGACAGAATATGACTGCTGCAATTCTATTCTTTTTTCTTTCCTGTTCCAAATCTCACTTAGACCGTCTCATTTACAAACTAAACTTTCTTTTTATTAAAGAAAGTGAAAAAGATAATAAGACTAAGAGGACCTATAGCTAGTCTATTTTCACACAGTCATATTTGAAATGAAAAATACTTGTTTTGTACATAAAGAAGACACTGTCAGACAAACAAGCTGAGTTTTTTTTCAGGAGTAAAGATGAGTGGTGCTGATCCAATATCATAATTTAGCCCATTTATTTTACGATCAAAGCTATACATTTGCTAGACAGATGGTCTGGTGTAGAGAACAGTTTGTCATCACGAAATAGATTTTCTCTAACTCATCCATATAAGCACCGAATATAGAACTTACCCCTATTACCACCAAGGTCAAAAAAATGATGTAATTTTCTCTGCCATCATACATAACCCTACACTCCCTGCTATTTGAACTCATACTACTGATTATCCAAGAATGAGTCACTTAAAGAGCCAAATCAGTAGCCAAATTCTAAATCAATTGAAATGGGGGGGGAATTACTTTCTTAAAGACTTCTTTGAACTCAGTCTTCATTTGGGATCACCCAGAAACAAATTCTGAGAGAAGGGTTTGAGTATGAGTAGTTTGTTTGGGAGGTGATCCCAGGAACTGCCGATGACAGAGGATAGAGAAGTGAAACGGAAGGGCGGACAGCCAAAACAATGTGTATTAGCAAGCAAGTTACCACTGTGGGTAACTGGAGCTTAATCCATCCTGGGAATGCCAAAGTCAGTATAACACATGCAACTCAGTGTTATCCTGCAGGGGGCCAGGGAGTTGGGATATTTATACACCAGCGCCCATCAGTCATCGGTTAAGAGTTGCTTAGGAGGGGAGGTATTCATTCTTGGGCACTTTCCCTGAACGTGGGCTCTTGTTTGCAAAGAAAGCTCTCAGGCCTGGTGAGGCCAATGCTGGTAGTTGGAAGTTGGGCCTATGTGCCAAGGGGACTCGGCATGGCACCAACTGTGTCTGACCCCAACACTGTTAAAAACAGGTTTTTTTCCCCCAAACATTATAAAATTTAATTCTTTTTGTATTAATGCATAGTATTTTTTAAAAAGATTCAAGTATTCACAATATTTTATGGAAAAGGCTGATTTTAAATTGATATCATGTTTTATAATTTTCATCATCATCTTGATGACCTCTTCAGTGTCAGCTATATACCTTTATAAGCGGCAGACAAAGAACTCTGCAATGTAACTCAAGCAGAAATAATAACTGGCCTAAAAAAAATTTCCATGCAATATTGCTCCTACTATTGAGGGCAATTATATATTTGCAGAGGATGCGGTAATAACATTTGGAACTTGCTTTACATTTAAATTTTATTTTATGCCATTTTTCCTGTCTATAATATAAGTCCTTTTAGGCAGTCTTCATCTCTTTCACGAGTCAAAACTTTGCGTTGTTCCCAAGAAGAAATTCAAGAAATTAAGCAACTGGGCAGTCCAACCAAGCAAGCTGAAATGAGAAGGGAAAAAATCAAAAAGGTCTATAACATGGCTAAAGGAAAAAATGCTCCTTCAGGGAATGTAAGTTTAACTTGTACTGAATTCATTGTTTTGGACAAGTAATTCTACTTCCATGAGTACAATTTTACTAATCTACAAGTTCAAAGCTGAATGCTTTGGTATATATCTCGCATAGTATAAAGCTGCATTCCTCCTGGTCATGCGCATTTCTTAAACAATATGAGTAGCTATTCTGATAAATACCAGCATGAGTTGGCAAAGAAACCCAACAACAAAAACTATTATCTCTGTATGTTAACAGTGTGATTCAGCACATCTCTAGCGCGGCTTTTCTCAAAATGGAAGTTATTTCTGTCTAAATTTATCAAAAGTCCTAATGTGCACAGTCTACTTCCATAGACTCCTGTATTGTGGGAATATTTACAATGAACATGTGTTCATATATTACTTTGTAATTTTTTTAAAATCTGCTCTACATTTTTTTTGAAATGTGGCTAAGTACAAAACAGTCAAATATAAAAAACAAAAAGTAGCAAACACCAAATGTAAAACATTTTCCATTCTTATTTGTAATTCTGCGTAGGAACAACAAAGGAACATACCAAAGACAAAAAAACAACGGAAGGTCGTCTTCTCCACTCCGTCTCTTGACAGTGTGAAAATTAATGAACTGGGTTCAGAAGATGAAATGGATAAAGAAGACGAGCCACTTTCCTGGCCTTAGAGCATTAGTGATTAATGATATTAATACACAGCTAATAGACAGAAAGCAAAGTTACTTAACAATCTGCTTGTCCGTCTATAAATGTTGAGTATGTGTATTAAAGAAAAGCAAAATACAAGCAAGCCCTCGGTGTACTCTTTTAAAAAAAAAGATTTATTTTATTTATTTAGGCATACAAGAACAGGGGTATAGGCCCACGGTGTGGGGGTGAGAGGATTCACCGGAGACAGTGTGGGGAGCAGAACAGGCAGATGTACTGAAATCCACTGCTAAGGGGAGCAGCAGGGGAGACAGGAAAGGTTTGCTGTGAGACAGAAGAGGTCTACCCATGTGGGTAGATCCCTGGCTGGGAGTGGAACTCAGGCCACAGTGGTTGGTGATACCTTGATAGCACTGAGACTTTAACCCCTGCGTCACCATGGAGGCCAATTGGTGTGCTCTTTTAACCAAATGGGTAGCAAGTTTTCGGTATTACATAGGTACAAATATTTTTTTACTGACAGAATTTTAATCTGAAAAAATTACTCAACTAGATGCCCTGGAACTAGCTATCTGAATTTTAGTCAAGAAATGATGAGAAAATTAGTTCCTGGAACTTTATTCAATTTTGATTTTCCTTCATTTAAAAGAACTATCTGAACATGCCGTACTTAGCATAAATATTAGAATTCACGGAATAAAGGGCTGCTCTTGAGTCAGCCTCTAGGGTTTTTTTCTTTTAGCAGCATCTTGTTTTTACAGAACAGCCTGTGATTGACCTATTCTGAATTATAATAATAATGCTAATGAGTTTGTTGCTACAGTAGCATCACATAGCATCCCCCTAATCTATTGAGCATCTAAGCACCTGGGACGGAATGTTGCAGCTGCCTTAATATTATACCTTGTATTTTTTTCAAGTATAAAGATTTTTTCCAGTGGAATTTATCAGTTTCCTTTAGAATTGATGAACTCTAATTCCTGATGCATTTCAAATTATTGATACTTTTGTGATCTAATCTATTGGATTAGATCAAACCTTACCGGAGACAAGCCTATATTTATTGAACTTTAAAAATACAATTTTTGATTTTGCTTAACATTTAAAAATGTGGAGGTTGGGTGCTGATTTTATTCAGGCAAAGCAGATTATAAATGGATCTCATCCTCAGCTAAAATATTCTCTTAAATGATAAAGAAAATTGCAGTAAATGTGTACGATTCCCACTAGAATATATTTATAAGTGTGCACTCTTTAATGTTAATACATCCTTATTTGATATCCAAAAATAGAATGGATAATCCTCTTGTTTTCAGAGCTTGTACTGGACACTGGTTGAATAGAAAAACATGTTTTTGTTCTCATGAGTCACATATTCTCATTCATTAAGTTGCAATCAAATGCATATTATATTCAGTCTACCCATAGTACATGCAATAACAAAGCTAAGGAAGATTTCAGGTAGCAAGATGAAGGAAAAAGACAAAGGAAGGACAGACTATGTTTAAGAGCATGCACTTCTCATATTTCATTAGCTATGACTTTGTCCCATTGTAATACCTAGTTACAAGGGAAGCTGGGACGTTCTCTTGTTTGGAGCGGTTATGTACCCACCTAAAATTCTATTGTTATAAAAGAAAAGGGTAACGGATAGTAAAGCATAACCAGCCTCAGCTGGCAGACAGAGATCATGTTTTCTATAGGTTCTTGTAACTCACATTAAACAATTGTAACCACATCACAGAAAATCCTTTTAAAAGTGGAATTATACATAATTCATCACCATAATATAATAACGTTTCATTTGTTTATATCTTTCTAATCTGTCTAAATGCACACATACTTTCATATAGTTGTAAAGGTAAGTAATACATAGATATACATTTTTTATTCACTTAACATTACATCTTAAATATAGTCCATTTAAAAAAAGAATTTGTAATGGCCACATGATAACCCAGTGGGATGATAACATAATTTACTTAACCATACCCATATCATTGTATATTCCAGTTATTCTTTTGTACATAATCAACACTAGAATGAACATTTTCATTTGTGGTTTTCTTTCTTTTGGTTGTCTTTCTATTATTATCTATTATTTATTTTTAACATAATTGCACTGTATTCAGAGTACATGATTTATATCATACTGATTCAGGGAAACTTGTTGAGAATGCCTTTATAATAGCCAAGTGCAAGGTCAGCTTTCATAAATGTTTCTTGTACTCTTAAGGCAAATGTACATTCTCTGTAGTTGGATATCAACCTTGATACATGTCCTTTTGATCAAGCTTGTTAATTGTATTCTATTTTCTATGTGCTACTTATTTTTTATCTATGTGACTTCAATGACTGAGAAAGGTGTATGTTATATCCCACTATGGTAAGATACTTGTCAATTTCTCTTCATAATTCTGTCATTTTTTGCTTTATGTTATTTGAGGATATCTTTATGTACCTATATATTTCAGAATTCAATTTCTGGTTGATCAAATTGTATGTACTATGTTTATTCCTAGTAGTTTATTTTGCTTTGAAGACTCTTGTATCCAATATGAACAGATCTGCTCTAGCTTTCTGCTGCTTAGCTCATGCTCTAGGCAAAGAACTCTAAGATGGTTGAACTAGGATTGAAGGACCCCAGATTCCTATGTTACTAATTGAAGGGGCCACAGCCAGAGCAGCAGGAAGCCTGACCTGGTGAACTGTGATGTGAACAAGAAAGAAATTTTGTTGTGTGAAACCCCACACAACAATCTTAGGGCATGTTTGTTATAGCAACTACTATTAATTATTGTGATATACCACGGCATCTTGTTTTAGGTTTTCTCTCTGACACAACAAATAACTGGATTTTTTCTGTTTCATTTTAATCCAATCTGAGGATATCTCTCTTTTTAACTGGTGAGTTTCAACACTTTATATTTTGTTGTGATTTTATTTCATTGTTAATATATGGAACTGTCTTTGCATATTATTTTGTGCTATCTGCCCTGCTTTTTCTATGTCTTTCTCCCCCTTTCCTGTTTTCTTTCAATGTGTTCTTTTAATTCCATTCCCCCTCTATTGTTTTTGAAGTTATACATTCTATTTCAATTCTTAGTGATTACTCTTAAATTTCAGTAAGTGTACTGAAAGTCTAAATCAATAGCTCTATCCCCCTGCTCAAGTATCCAAGGACTTTAAAATACTAATCACCTTCCTCTCACCTTAAGTTATTGTTATTGGATAATTTAACACCATCTTGTTTATAACCTCCAAATTAGCCATAATTGTTGTTTTATAAATCTAGAATAAATTTTCTTTACCCTGATGTATATTTGTAAAAGTTCCTTTAATGAACATCTATTGGTGGACTGTCTTTTCATTCTTACTCTTAAATACATACTTTAAGTAGGTATCAAATTCTACCTTGACAATTGTCTCTCAAATATATGAGGTTATTGTTCCTTTAGCTTCTGGCTATCACTGCCAGTCTAGTAGTTGCTTCTTTAATATGAGCTCTTTTTCCACTCTAGCAACTTTTAAGATTTTCTCTTCCTATTTTGTGCTCTTCACTTATATGGAAAAAGATTGACTCTCCCACATTCTTCTCTCGGTTCTATCTCCATGTCGTTTCACCTTACTGTCCTTTGGGAATCTGGCTTTATGCAGAGATCTCAGTTGCCAACTTCCTACCATCCCTGCACCCAAGATCTTGTATCTCACTCATATGAAGTCATTACAGCAAACATTGTTTAAAAATAAACAATGATGTAAAAAATATATAAATAAAAAAATAAAAATTAAAGTAAAAAAACCCTTCCGATTTGTTCCTCTCTGGTGGTGCAGGGGTTACAGTCTCAGCGTTATCAAACTATTGCCAGCCACTGCCCCATGAGTTCACTCACCAGCCAGAGAGATTCCCACATGGTGCAGCAGACCTCTCCTGTCTCACCCGCTGCTCCCCTCGGCAGTGTATTTCAGTAAATCCATCTGTTCTGCTCCCCCCTCTGTCTCTGGTGAATCCTCTCACCTCCCCCCCACCCCGCCACCTCTGGCCTATACCCTAGTTCTCGTATGCATTCCAAATAAATCTTTGGAAAAAAATAAATAAAAATAAAACTTGAGATTTAAGGTCCATGCTAATGACAAATTTGCTCAGGACATAAGTCACTTACCTTGTTAGTCTGTGGCTCCTCTTTATTTTTCATTCCTGAGCCATTTCTTACACACTCAACTGTGCCTTTTAAAAATTTGTCTTCACAAATATATTTTATCTAGAGTTTGTATGTTTTTTTCCAGTGGATGCTTTTTCTAATATTTGGTCTACCATTTTCTCAGAAATAAAAGTTCACTTTGTTACTTCTTAGAATAAAATCTTGAGAGTGGTACTTATTACTGCATCAGAGATTTTAAACATTTTTATAGCTGTTCATGTGTATTGTCAGAGTGCTTTCCACAGTTCTCTTTTTTTTTTTTTGTTCTTTTAAAGATTTATTTATTTATTTATACAAGCACAGGGTACAGTCAGAAGCGCGGGAGGGTGAGAGGATTCACCAGAGCCAGAGCAGGGAGCAGAGCAGGCAGAAGGACCGAAGCACACTGCTGAGGGGAGCAGTGGGCAGCAGGAGAGGTCTGCGCGCCATGTGGGACCCTCCTCTGGTGGCCGGGGAGCAGCCGGGGATCGAACCAGTGCCGCGGAGGCCGCGGGCAGCTTCGCAACCCAGCGCTCAACCGCTGCGCCACCGGGGAGGCCCTCCACAGTTCTCTTTTTGAGTGGCGAGTACAATATTAACAGTTGTTTATCTATTTCATGGCAACAGAATGGTGTAATGGAGTATGGGCTTTGAATCAGCCAAATTCTATTCTTTCTCTCCCTGCTTCATCTCTCTCTGTCCCTCCAATTTTCACATATGTAGAGATTAAAGAAATTCTTTCCCTTAAATGTTCTGTTGTGGTTCGAGATTCTACAGAATTAAGAAAGAAACTGCCATTTGTGAAGGAGAGAATAATAATACATATAATAGAACTGCCGGCTACACATGCTGGCTTTATTATCTGTTCTACCCTCAAGCCCACTAAAATAATAGTAAAGACATTTTTCCAGTTATACTGAATAATAACTGACATACATAACTGTATGTGTTTAAGATACACAGCATGATGGCTTGATTTTTATAGATTGT